TGGCGCAATCTCAGCTCACTGCAACCTTTTCCTCCTAGGTTCAAGCGATTCTCCTGCCTCAGCCTCCAGAGTAGTTGAGATTATAGGTGCCTGCCACCATACCTGGCTAATTTTTGTATATTTAGTAGAGATGGGGTCTCACCACATTGACCAGGCTGGTCTTGAACTCCTGACCTCAGGTGATCCACCTAACTTGGCCTCCCAAAGTGCTGGGATTACAGGAGTGAGCCACTGCACCCAGTCATAATTTTTTTCTTAATAAATCATTTTTTAAAATGTTGTTCATGTGATTATTGCTTATTTGCCTATTTATTAAAGAAATATTTCCTGAGTTCCTGTTCAATAACTGTATTAGATGGTGAAAACATATCGTTCTTGAACTCATGGAGCCTGCAGTCTACTGGGGGAACCGTTATCACCAAACAAAGGTATGACTGATTACAAAGTGTGATAAGAAGTATGAAATGGTATATTTTTATTACATTATCACCTGTGTGCCCAAAACACTGAATCTTCAAATCTGCTGCCTTCTCAAGCACTCATGACCAATAATTAAACACAACATTTTTGTCACCAGGCAATGAAGCTACTTAAGGTCAGTTTACTGTGGCCTTCCTTTCTCAATCAAATCATCTTAGAGCGAAGGAGAACGAGAGAACCTGTAAAGCTAGGTAAGTCCATTCTCTAAGATAAACCTAGTGCCATAAGTAATTCCACCATGCACACCCTAACCTTTATGAAACTGAGTTATTGCCTCAGATGTGGAAGCCAATAGTACTTTTTAACCTTCAATTCCTACTCAGTGTTTTCTTCCCAGACTCCTAAAGAATAGGACTTGCCTACATGAAAAATAGTAAGATTCGGAAAATGTATACATACTTCGATGAAAAGGGCATCCTTTGAAATGGAGAGGTTTTCCAGTCGTGGGTCCAATGCCTTTTTCTCCTGTACACAGTGCACGAAAATTTTCCGCAGTTTTGGGTACAATATCTGCAAACAATTCTAAGACAATTCGACCCACTAAAAGAAAAGAAAATCTTGTCAGTTTGCAAAACAACCAAACAGGCAAATGATAAAAGGAAGGTTGGTATAGCAGATCAATCATGAATTACCAAGTTCCCTTTTATTGTCATTTTCTTTTTCAATTTCAAGAACACATTGTTATTAACTATAGTCACTATGTTATACTATAGATCTCTTGAACTTACTCCTGCTTTCTAACTGAAATTAGGTCTCCTGTAATCAGCATCTATCCAATCACTGAAGTCCACCATTCCATTCTCTAATTCAAGGTCAACTTTTTTAGAATCCACATATAAGTGAGATCATGCAGTATTTGTCTTCTCCTGCCCAGCTTATTTCATGTAACATAATGTCCTCCATGTTAATTCATGTCGTCAAAAGTAACAAGATTTCATTCTTTTTTATGGGTGAATAGTACCCCATTGTGCACATATACCACATTTTTTTTAAAAATCCATCTGTAGATGGAAACTTAGTTTGATTCCATTACCTTGGCTATCATGAATAATGCTGCAATGAAGAGGGGAGTGCAGATACCTCTTTGACATACTAACTTCACTTCCTTTGAATATACTTACTATTAGAATTAGTGAACCTTAGTGGCATTCTCCTAATATTCAAATTTAGTCTGTCTACTGTCATATATGTATGTAAACAGATTTGAAACATCATACAAAGGATCATAACCAATTATACTAACCAGAAAATTGGCACCATGTAATGGATATATTAAATACAAATAGATTTAAATCTGGAGTTATTTCTTCAAGAGGTACTGAGAATTTCCAATCATCAAGCAACCAACAGGAGAAAATGAAACAGCGTTTGGGAAGTCGGACTGGCCACGTGTTATGTATACCTGCAGCCTTTGGGCTCTGTGCAAACTGCCTAGTGCAGCCTCTGAAGCAAAAGCTGTAAAAGTTCCTCCTGTGCATAGCACCTAAGACAGGTGAGAACAAACCTAGCCATAGCTAGTTGCAACAAACTGAATAAACGTGTAAACGTGTATGTGTCCTGTACATCCATTCAAACACACTGCGTGGTCAGCAATTCTAACATGTTCCCGAACAAGACCAATCCAGTTACAAAACAACACGCTCCCTATTCACCAGGCATTAGGTAACTTCTGAGCGGCTACGTAACCTAGGCAAAATCACTACGTTGAGCGCATTTTTCCAGCGGCAAATAAGAGAAAATGTTTGCCCACCTGAATGGTCCTCTAAGTTAAGAATCAGTAATAAGGCAAAAGTTATGAGCAAACAAGTCGCTTTAACGTATAAATAACACAGCAGGTGCCGATATATTATCTCATGTGGCAAACACAGTTCCCTGGGGCCCAGCAGACAAATATCCCAGTATATGTTTTCCGAACTGTCTCACTGTAAACTTATTAAAATAATCTTATTTCATGCTAACACGGCGGTGCAAAGGTGGCGTGGAGGTGCAACCAAATCAGGAAAGGCAAACCTAAAGGCCACGAGTCCCAAACTAGAAATTTCCAGAAACTTCCGCACGACCGATGGCACTGATACAAGGGCGCTGAATCGATCTAGCCCTAGGTGCCCGGTCCTGTCCCGGCGTACCAACCTGGGCAGCCTAGGCTGCCTCCGCGATACTGAGCAGCCACCGGCCGGAGCCTCAATCTAACCTTGGAATCCCCCAAATCCCGGGAACCCCCGCCTCCTCCCGGCCTTTCAGCGAGCTTCAGACTCCGCTCACCTCGCTCCCCTCCGATGTCCACGTCAAAGAAGACTCGAGGGTTACTGGGGTTGGAGGGCTTGGCTTGGGGGGACGGGTGCGACATCTCGACTTGCAGACGCGTTTGCAGGCAGGATCCGCAAACCTCGTGGCAGCCCGGCAGCTCTAACTGTAACGCTCCAGTGCCCCGCCAGAGACTGGTTGCGACGCTGACCGGCCACTTCCGGCGCGAGGCCCGGAAGCCGCGACCTGACTTCCGGCACCGCCCCACTCCGCCGCGCGGAGTTTCAAGGCGCCTGAGTGAGTCGTGTGCCCTTCGCCCGCTCTCCCTTGCTTCTCATTATTCTTCTTGCTTGTGTTTCATTGACTTTCCTACCATCGTGGCGTAGAGCTTTAGGGTCAGCCCCATGCCAGCCTCAGCTCTGCCACCAAGTGGGGTGTGACTTCTCTGAAACTCAGTTTGCTCGTCTAGAAAAAGAATAAAAACGCTGACCTTGGAAGGTCGTTTTGAGGATTAAAGACATGAATCAGTACAATGCCTGGCACAAACTGGTGGTTCCCAGCCAATAGAAGCCTTATTATTGCCATGTCGTTAAAACTTGATCTTCACATTACAATGTAACTGATACGGGTTAGACTAAACGCTCCAAACAGCTAAAGCTGGGAGTCCAGAAGAGAGCAGCTTTTGATTCCCGATAAAACTGTATTTGGCCGGGCGCGGTGGCTCACGCCTGTAATCCCAGCACTTTAGGAGTTTGAGGCGGGCGGATCACGAGGTCAGGAAATCGAGACCATCCTGGCCAACATGGTGAAACCCCATCTCTACTAAAATACAAAAAATTAGCCGGCCGTAGTGGTGCGTGCCTGTAGTCCCAGCTACTCAGGAGGCTGAGGGAGGAGAATTGCTTGAAAACGGGAAAACAGAAGTTGCAGTGAGCCGGGATTGCACCACTGCACTCCAGCCTGGCAAGAGAGCCAGACTCTGTCTTGAAAAAAAGAAAACGGAAAAAGTAAAAGTTAAATTACATGTATAACTAGGTACTCATAAAAAAAACCAATTTGTTGGCAGGGCACGGTGGCTCATGCCTCTAATCCCAGCACTTTGGGAGGCCAAGGTAAGTGGAAGCCTTGAGCCTAGGAGTTCAAGACCAGCCTAGACAACATGGCGAAACCCCATCTCTGCAAAAAAAATATTTTTTAAACAATAAATAAATAAATAAGAGTAGAGTCGTGTTTAATTAAAATACCAACATACCTTTTGCAAAAAAAAAAAAAAAAAAACCATAGATGTTGGTGAAATTTTAGAACAAATCAGTAAGTTTTGTTCTAAGGATATTATATTGATTGAATTTTTCTTTGTAATCACTAAGTTGCCTCATTAACAAAATGGATACATACATGCACAGGTATGCCCACATAGATACCCAACAAAAGTTGATTCAATTATATGACAAATATTAGCTCTTACTATTATTATTATATGCCAGTCTCTATTCTGAGTGCTGATGATACAATGATGAAAAAACATAATCTTGATCCTTTTTTTTTTTTTTTGAGACAGGGTCTTGTGCTGTCACTCGGGCTGGAGTGCAATGGTGCAATCACAGCTCATTGTAGCCTTGACCTTCTGGGCCCAAGTGATCCTCCCACTTCAGCCACCTGAGTAGCTGATACGACAGGCACACGCCACCATGTACAGGTAATTTTTGTATTTTTAATAGAGATGAGGTTTCTCCATGTTTCCCAGGCTGGTCTTGAACTCCTAGGCTCAAGCAGTCTGCCCACCATGGCCTCCAAGAGTGTTGCAAGCATGAGCCACCACACCTGGAGCCTTATTTTTAATTACACAAATTACACAGTCTTATGGGGGAGAAAGACAATTGAATAAAACTCTACAATGCAATATAATTAGTGTTTTAATAGAAAAAAACAATCAAATTCAGCATAGGATTCAGCACAGTCCTATTCATTTTAATAGGAAAATGACAAACATTGCAGGGCCACTAAACACAGCAGCCTTTTCTAAGATCAGAAATATGAATAAGATCAGTCACAGGAGCGTATGTGGCAAGTAAGACAGGAAAGGAGGGAGTGAGTGGAGAGCCTCTTCAAAGCAGGAGGAACTGCATATATAAAGTGAAAATGGGCAACAAGAATGTTACTTCTCCATGAGAAGCCAGTTTTTCAGATAGTACTGCTACTTCAGGTGGGTCTGGATCACTGGTGTATTAGTCCATTTTTACACTGCTATGAAGGAATACCCGAGACTGGGTAATTTATAAAGGAAAGAAGTTTGATTGTCTCACAGTTCCACATGGCTCAGGAGGCCTCAGGAAACTAACAATCATGGCAGAAGGTGAAAGAGAAGCACGCTTGGACCTTCTCACATAGCTGCACGAGATAGAACAGTGAGGAGCAAAGGGGGAACAGCCCCTTATAAAACTATCAGATCTCATGGGAACTCACTATCACAAGAACGGCATGGGGGAAACCACCTCCATGATCCCTAGACACATGGGGATTATGGGGATTACAATTCAAGGTGAGATTTGGGTTGGGACACAAAGCCCAACCACATCAACTGGTTTTCAACGTTGAAATCGGAAGTCAGACTTTGGTTTGTATTTTTGTCCAGTTCCTTCAGACTGAATTTTCAGAATAAGAAGCAGTTGTATAACCTAGCCCATTTTATCCCTGAAATAGAAAAAGAAATAATGGGAGGAACAAACTCAAAAGGCACCCCTAATTTATTTGTCTATTGCACTTATAACTTTGTAATATGCTGTTTACTTTTTTATTTAACCTGCTCATTAAAAATCAGCTCCTTGGGAATGATAGTAGGAGTTTAAAAAAACAAAATTTAGCTCCACAAGGACAAGAACCTTTGTTTTTTTCATTACTGTTATCCCCAGCTCTTCTCACAGTGCCTAACACAGTAGGTACTCAGTAAATATGCTTGAATGCATGAATGATTTACACAAAATACTAATGGCTCTGAGAATTTTATAAAATAATGTTAACAAGAAATTGTATTTCCGTGTCTTTAGGTGTATTTCAAAATGATTATCAGATTTCCATGCTGATCCTTGCAAATTCAACACATTAAAGTTAATATAAAATGTTAATTTTTATTTTCTCCAATTCCTGGTGTTTATTCATGGTATTTATTCATCATTCCCTGAAGATCCAGGATGGGTCAGAACAAAACCTCTGTGTCCCTTGATAAACAAGAGCGTAAAAATCATTCATTAATCCAGTTTCATGTCTGGGCTGCAAATTGGTAACTTATACTTTGTCTCACATATATCACAATAAATTCACATTAACACTTTTCTTCTGATCTACCAGCTTAAATTTAACGTGTTATTACAAGAATTGTCACTCATATGCCATAGCTTCTCAACCATTATCATGATGAGTATACTTAGGTAAGCACTTTTCTCTGCCATCACAATTCTGGGGTTCACATTCAGTCTCTAACATAATAGTTTGTGCCTTTGGATGAGTTACTTAGCCTCTCTGTGCCTCACTTTCCTCACCTATAAATTAGCATAATAATATGTATCTCCTAAGATTATTATGAAGATTAAATGAAGAGGATTAAATAAAAATGTTTTGGTATCTGACATATAGTAAGTACTCAATAAGTATAAGCAATTATTATTAACCATAAGTAGTTATCCTTTATTATAGTAGTTACTGACATCAACATATTTTAAAATGGATGTTAAAGCTTCAAAGGGGTTTCGAGGATTCCTTTGCATTCTTACAAGGAAAAAAAAGGACTCTTCCTGCTATACAGGTTTCTGGGTGTAAAAGATTAATTCAAATGTTGCTCTCACTGTGTCTAGGTTTTTCACAGTAAAGCAACAGCTTTATATAAACTGTCATATTCCTAGAACCAAACCAAATAAAAGAATTGTACCTTTCAAAACCACTCAGAACTGGATCTTTAGTGAAAAGATAAACCTCCTAGAAGACTCTTGTCCTACTGTCAGTCTGCTTATGTGGAACAGGACTTCTGAGTTCTGACATCTTGTCTGTGCTTAGCAAGGAACAGAGCAGAAGAGACAAAAGCATGCCCTGTTTCTTAGGGCTGAGGACACAGTTTCAGCCAGATGGAGTGGGGAATTTTCCTCTGATAACCTTGTTGTTAAAATTTCTGTCTGTTGCTCATAAGTGTGGTAGAATGATATTAATAGATTCCCTTCCTTCCCAATATTTTCTTCTTTCAATTTCATTGCCCATTACTGCACCCCAAACAAGCAGCTAGGCATTCTGTGCTCTTTGCTTTCAAAGAAAGAAGTGACAGCAAGAAAAGCATAGAGAACAAAAGCAATCTCTTCCTGGCTTTGGTGTTGCAAAAGGTTTGGCTTTACAGAAACAGATAAGACTCTTGGCATAGCAAAAGATTTGGACAAAACATCTTTTGTAAGATCATGGCTTTCCTTTCTCAGAAAAAAAGAAAAGAAAAGAAAATCCACTTTCTACACTGGGAGAAGACAAGATTATGGATGGTGCACAGGGGAAGGTAAGAGAGGAGGCAGTGGCAAGGCAGATTTCCACAGTCCCAGGGACAGGGAGTCTTACCATGGTCCTCGTCACATACCTGGGAAGCCACCAAACTTCTGTAGATGGGTTTGTGAGATAAAGGAGCAGAGGGACGTGTTCCCTGATTCCTGAACTGTCTCAGGAAGGCAATAGGCCCCAGAAAGAGAACATAATTCATGGTGTGAGTAGGTAACTGGGAACTAGACAGGGTCCAAGAGATTTTGTATGCCCTAACTTGAAGTGGAAATAAACAAATATCCCTGTGCACCCATGTTTGGCATGGAAAAGAAAAGGCAGCCTCCACATTTAAAGGGAGCTTGCGGAATGGAACTCAACTCATTTGAGGTTCATGAGAACTGATAACTGAGTTAAGATCATGAATTTCTCACTGGATGCCTGTGTAGACAGATCACATTGAGAACCAGAGGCTCCCAACCCCCAAATTTGCTGTTATATTAGGACTTTTTGAATTTAGACCCAACCCCAAGGGAGAAAAAGGAGGAATACCAGAAATAGACACAGATTATGATATTACCAGACCTTCGAAACGGGCAATTCAAAATTGAATTTCAGAGGAGTTACAGAAAAATAAAGTTGTATTTCATACACATCTAACTTTATTCCTTTACATGGGCATGGTTGTAGATCACTGAGGTCCTTACTAGGATCCCAGACAAATCTGAAGTCACATCCAACCCCTTTGTAAAAGATAAGGAATTAGGAAGGACATCAGAGTTAGAGGAAATTCTAGGATCCTGTCTGTAGAATCAGACTCTGAAACCAAACAGAAATCCAAAGAACAAGTTAGCATGTAACTCATTAAAGAGGAGATGAAATGATTCTGCTCCTTCCAAGAGGAAGCACTGGCGTTGATGAGACAGCAACATATGGGGAGAGATTCCTAACCAAGAATCCCTGCTCTGAACCACATAGACAAAGAGTTGCTTCGACTACAAGAGTCATAATTTCAGATCAGAATGAGATAGCAACTCTCAGGTTTTGCCTGCTATAAAATTTACAAATATCTAAGGATAACTGTAGGTCTTCCGGGCCAGAACAATGAATAAATGAAAGGCAAATGCCACCAGGGGACAGCAGAGTCTCCACCACTGGCAGAAATCATCACACAGACAGAAGTGGTGCAGTGGACTTTGTGCCTGAGGACTCCCAACAGGATAAGCTTCTTCATCTAGGAACTGGAAGTGACATGGCAAAAAAAAAAATATTGATTATCAGTTCACAATAGCACCAGGTAGACAGGGCTTATGTGCAATAAGGAGCAACAGTAAAATCCTTCTGAAGAGCAGTAAGAGTATCTTCTTCTCTGCAGAGTAATAGGATTAATGTTTACTGTTTTCAGTTGGAAAAGTGTATTTAACCATATTTGACAGAACAAAACCAATGATAGACTTGTTCAAATCCTCACTATTTCTTTTCTTGAAGAAAAAAAAAAATTACATGGACCTAAAAGTCACTAAAAACCACTTCTACCATCCTAGAAAAATATAGTCTAACAACCCTGATAGGTTTAAATATTTGTTTTAAAATGTCATGGTATATAAAGGGCCCCTGGGCTCCTTCTGACACTAATGCTGGAGTTGTTTCATCCCTATGTAATTTAGTTTTGATCTATCATCATAAAATGGTTTAGGTTTTTATACCTTTTGTAAGATATTCTGTATTTATAGAATGTGAATAGAGGCAAATAAAACTTTTTTTTAGAAAATAAAAACAATAATAAAATTTCCTACAACTCACTTTGCATGGAGTGAGAAAGGTTAGAGAATTAGTGCCAATCTTTTGGCATCTGCATGAACTTCCCTAATTCTGGGCAGAGATGGAAACCAAAAGAAACAGATATGCAAGTAACAGAAGCTGGTGTCTCTGAAAAAGGGCTATGCTAAGTAGAAGAGCTTATATAGAGAGGATCTATTAGGGCTTATTGATTGAAAAGGATTTTCAGCAGGGTTGACATGAAAAGATTTGCATGTTTAAGAGAATATTCTGGGCCAGGCGTCATGCCTCATGCCTATAGTCCCAACACTTTGGGAGGCCGAAGTGAGCAGATCGCCTGAGGTCAGGAGTTCAAGACCAGCCTGGCCAACATGACAAAACCCCATCTAGCCGGGTGCAGTGGCTCAAGCCTGTAATCCCAGCACTTTGGGAGGCCGAGGCGGGTGGATCACGAGGTCAAGAGATCGAGACCATCCTGGTCAACATGGTGAAACCCC